ACAAAGCACGAAGCAAGAAACATTCGGGCATCAAATAAGCTCCACCAGTATGTAAAACCACTCTGGCATATAACTCCTCTCGCTCTATCCACAACTCAAAAGGCATCGCCGACTCAGGCATCCCTACCTCTCGTGGCATCTAACTACCCTCTTAGAAGATTCCTTAAAAGCACATCTAGGTATCTCTCCTAGATTACTCCACTACTCAAAGCTCTCTCTAAAAGATTCCTGCTAGATACTCTTACTCATCACATACTCAAGGCGCATAACGGATATCAACAACTACTAGGCTAAGGCATCACAAATCAGGCAACTCTAGCCCTAAAATATGAAATACCTAGCCTATCCTCTAGCATGCATCAGTAATATCTCATAAATATCTCATAACACAAATAAGTAAGGGTATTTTGGGAAATCACCGTTCGGGCTCTGGCTGATTGTACACACTGCTCCAACTCGTTTTCTCTTAAAACTCTTTCTCATTTTAGAAAAATCATCTCTTTGAAAATCTTTCTCAAATCCTCAGTTTGAGTCCAGACACACCCGAAGGTACATCTAAATACCTCAAACCAAGGCTCTGATACCAACTTATAACACTGTAAATTTTCAAATAGAATTTTCATTTAAAATCACATAATTCTCATTAACACATTTCAAAAAAAACCCCAAAGTGTCAAATTATCAAAACACATATCCATAAAATGTTGGATAAGAATCCAGGATCCTCAAAATATAACTCTATCTCGTGTGTACAATCAAGCCGACGCTTCCCGCGATCCTGAGAAGTACCTGAAACACATATCTCATTAGACTCTCGTGGCTATAACTCAGATAAGACCCTCCGATCAATGTGTCTCATTGGGACCCTCCGGTCCCACAACTCAGGTGGACCCTCCGGTCCTAACTCAGTAAAGTTTAGAATAATACACAACATAAATCACAAAGATATAATGCAGGATATCACAATACTCAATATAAGCACATAAGACCCTCTGGTCACACAAATTACCACTCAAGGTAAGTATAGTGAGCAGACTCACCTCGGATGATGATCAGCTCCTACAGATGCAGCTGTTGCACACCGACCTCTAACACTGAACCAAAACCCACAATTACCCAATTAAGATCTAAGACCAAACCTCACTTATTACGTCTAAAGATAGCTCACTACCCGGCCCACAATTAACTCAAGCTCATTGGGCCCACCAATGCCCAATACTAAATGGGCTCTTCCAAGGCCCAACTCTTAAACTTAAGTCCAAATGGAAAGTCCAACACAAAGGCCCAAGACATACACAATATTCCTCTGATCAAAATCTCCAGCCCAATAGGCCTAGAAATCCAGGCCCAACACTTAAGGCCCAATGTGGGTTTTAGCCCAAAAAGCCCACAACAAGGTTACGCGGGGCGTACCTCACTTGGTACGCTCAGCGTACACACGAACCTTGATCGGGCACACTTGACCAGTACGCAGGGCGTACTGGATTTACGCTCGGCGTACGTCCAGACTAGCTTTTTCCCACTCTCTTGGTCTTAACCCGTTAACACCATAGCTATACTCTCAGATCTGGACACCCTAAAGGCTCATACTCCATAAAGTTCATGACTTTAAGCTTTTGCATGGCCTTTAAAGACCCAAACCCAAATACATTCACTCTTTACTTCCAAAAATGCTCATATCTCATGCATGTGGGCTTTAATGTCCAAGACCTCATTTTTGTGAATCCTCTCCACTAGAAACACTTAAAAGGACAAATATTAGGCTCTGGAGTTCAACAACTCATAAAGCTTCAAGCTTTGGGACCAAAAATCCTAAAATGGACCATAATATGCTCAAATCAACAAGGATGAGAAAGCTCTGAGCTTTATACCTTCAAATGATGCTCAAACCACAGGAAAGCTCAGATCCAAGGCCTGGACTCCAACTCCATTCTCCTCAATGCTCCTTCTTCACTTCAAGGATACCACAAGAACACTTAGAAGCTCACAAATGGACACTCAAGCTAGAGGAACACATATTAGGGTTTTGAGAGGGCTGAAGGCTGGAAATGGTGGCCAGAAATGAGGCCATATGTTCTTTAAATAGGGACACATCCCTCATTTAGGGTTTCCACCCTGTGCCTAGTACGCCCAGCGTACCCTCTGGTACGCCCAGCGTACTAGGTGGCTCCGCTTCAAAATCACGCACATGAGTACGCTAAGCGTTCACATACGTACGCCCCGCGTACTCAGCTGCCACCTTTCTCAAATAAGGGACTGAACTTGCCAAAAATTCAAACTATCATATCTCCTTCAACATAAGTCCATTTCTAATGAACCTCGTATTCACAAAAAGGTAGCGAGAAGCCCTATGCTTCTATTAACTTGTCGCAGCCTCAAGGCTTCCTCATGCCTGAGTTGCAGCCCACGAACCCTAAATCACAGACGATCCGAAACAGGACGTTACAGAAGGCCCATAACCATATAACAAGTCCAAGTCCACAACTAAGCATACTAAGGCCAAAAGGGACCATATTGCCCCTCCCTAGGTCCATACCCTAAATTTTGACCTAAAAGTCAAAATCAGCAAAAGTCAACAAAAGTCAACCGAAGTCAACACCCACCAAGTACGCTGGGCGTACAACTCCCTACGATGGGCGTACTGCTGGCCATGCATGCGATGGGGGTCTTCAGCTCTATGCTGCACGTAGATGGGAGTGTGCACATCGTACTCCTCAGACTCTCATTCTTCACTTCTTTTGGCCTTAATCCATTAAGACAAGTACTCAAACTATAGATCTGAGCTAAACAAGGCCTCTTATTCCATAAAGTCATGGGCTTTAAGACTTTGCATGGCTATGGAAAGCTAGAACATTATTTCACCATTTTCAAACTACATTACTCATGCATGGGACACAAAGGAAGATCAAGCAAGCATTTTTATCCATCTAGATGCCCTAAAATACATGATAGGACAACCTAAACTCTCTGGAGAGTCACAAAGTCGAAAAGGTCTAAACTTGAGGACTTAAACTCATAAATCTTGCACCAAAAGAGATCTCAAAGAATACTAGCCAAGGTACAAGCTTTATACCTGAAAATGATGCACAAAGATGGACGGTTTCTGGATCTCTAAGCTGGATGGCACCTTCTTTTCCTTCTAACTTCACTATTTCACTACAAGGGTCAATAATCTCTTTAAGCTTGCAAAATCACACCCACAAGCACACACTCCAGATTTAGGGTTTATGAAAGGTTGGAGGCTAATAAAGGTGGCTAGAAATGAGGCCATCGCATTCCTTAAATAGGGACACAAGAAATGTTAGGGTTAGCATACTGCCTAGTACACCCAACATACTAGGTAGCCTTCGCGATCCTTCTTAGTGCATGAGTACGCTGCACGTACTCATGCGTACACCCCGTGACTCACTTGCCACCTGTTATAAAACAAGGATTAATTTTAACATAAAAAAGGTTAAGGAAATATAATTATACCTCGATTCGGGATGTTACAAAGTGCTTCAACACGACACACAGAAAAATGAAAAGGTCATGGGCACAAAAAGTTGATTAGCAGCCCCTCTAAATAAACAATCTGAATAGCGAGCTAACATTTTCCAAGAAAGCAAGGGCAAACAGTCGAATAAGTTTAAATCACACTAATAAAATAAAATTGAAAGTATGCTTCATATTGGGGGGGCTTAGTATTGTACCAGCTTGAAATCCTATTATTGTGGATCCGGATCAACACCACTCCCACTTAATAGTTGAGTCCAGGGACAAAGACGCTCCAAGAAGGATAAAAAGTCAAGTCCCAATCTATGGATGCCTACTTATCCATCACGAATGACAAAACACCCAATGACGACAAAAGGCTCTACAACCAACATGCATTCGTACTCAGTCCACCTTTCTAGAGGAGTACAACACAAAATCTGCCAAAAAGATGTCATACCAACAAGCTTTTCAGACAAGAGAGCATATCTAATCTCCCATATCAACAATAAAAATACTCACCTTCCGTGGAGATATCAATATTACTTTCTCTCTCATATTATCTTTAGTATCCATATTCTAACTTGGGTGTCATAGCGTACTCCTTGGACAACCATAGATTAAGGCCGAACTCGGTTTCCCTTTGTTATCAACTTATCATGTCCAAGAGGTTCACACATTTTAGCTCGAAAACTCATATTCTCAAGTCACAACCACACACCTTAACCTATTCTCCGGACTTGGTTGCATCGATCTCTAATAGTGATGATTCTATGTCTAAGAGTTTTATGTAACTTAATTCCATGTGGCGATTGATTTTGATCTAGATTTAATCTATTGAAAATCAAATAATATATAAAAATGTAAACTTTCATTATATACATATACACATAATAATACCATAACATTTCTTGTAAATTAGGTCTCGGTGGACAACTTTACCCATTAAAATACAATATCTTGTAAAGTAAAAATATATTTTATGGAGAGACATTTTAGATTCTAAAGAAGTTGGCAAGTTCTTTTTGTTGCCATTTCCCCCACCATTTGGCAAGAATTTAGGAATTAGGATAGGAACAAGTGGGGTAAGCTCATAAATAGTGACAGCCACGCTCGTAATTGTGAGACTAGGCCCTTTCTATCGTCCTCATCATCATCATCAAGAACTTACAAGACAAATTTAGAAAAAGAAAAGGGGGAAAGAGAAGACAAAAGGTTTTGGGCCCCTTCCCACCTCACGAGGAAGAAACCAAGACAAAAAAAAAAGAACCCAGAAAAACCTCTTTCCTTTTCTTGCACAAATTGTACTTTTTCTTTCATTGATTCCTATCGGAATTCAGCACCTCAAAAGCCAAAACCCACATAAAGGTGTCCTTTCTCCCGATTCTTTTGCAGCTGAGATGACATCAAATTCTCGAGAGTTAATTGTGCTGTCATGAGTACGGAGTTTTACCCATTTGTGATTCTTTAGGGTTTTCGACTTGGTGTGTATAGGTGATTGATTGTGTTTGTGCAAAAAAAGAGAGATGCAAACAGATAAATCAGAGCAGATGAGATCGGTGGCAGCAGATACTCGAGGGAAACACAGAATTTCGGCTGAATTGAAGAGACTTGAACAAGAAACTCGCTTCTTGGAGGTTTGATTTCTTTCGTTTTTAAGTTTTTACTAATTTCAGTATTTACTCGTTTCATCGCGGTTTTCATATATTAGTTCTTGTGGGTTTACATCAAAATTGAACTTTTTTTTTTGTTTTATATGTCTTTTCCTCGAATTCAGGATTATTATGCAATGATTGTTTGAAGTTAATTATACATCGAAGTTCGCTTATTTCATCTGTTTTTCGTAGTTTATGGTGCTTCATTTTGTCTATTTGTTCAGATATGACGAGAAATTATCTCAATTCAATGCGACCTTTTGTTATTCTTCGCAGAAAGTTTCTAATTTTTTCCATCTTAGAGTACTCTGATTTTGATTTTGCTTTTTGCCACTACGCTTCTTTTGAACTAAAATCAGTATCAATTGATATTGCTGTTAGCAATTTATGATTTTTACAGTCAAGCCTCATCTTCATCTGGATTCAATCATCAAAAAGTTCAAATTTGATCTGCTAAGTTTTATATTGTTTAATTATCTTTATATGTGGTTAAGAATATGATAGTGATCCAATTCATTGCTTTCATCAATAGGTTCATGTTGTCCGATTGTAGTTTTTGTTACTTTTGGATATTAGGTTTCAAATGTTTCAACATTTTAGGAGAATGGATTAATGTTTTTGGACATAATAGCCTCATGATTTGCTCTGTCACTTTTTTGTGTAAATGACATAAATGCCCACCTACTCTGTGTATGTTTATCTTGTATGTATTTGTTTTGTATACATGTTTTATATCTTCACAATATATGTAGGTTGTTGTTTATATGTTTGTGTAAAAGACATAAATGCCCTTGTTGTTTATACTACTTGTATGTTTCTAAAATATGTAGCTTCCACAAGTATCAATAGTATTTTCAAGCAAATGCCGTAAATTATCAATTTGACAAAATTTGCAATATTTTATTTCACCTAAAAAGGTGAAACAATATGGGACACAAACTCACTCTTGATCTTATCTAAAAGTCTCTACAAAGTTCTAGTGCATCAAGAGACTTTCTCATGTAGAATGATTTTTGGGACATCAATTAAAAGCCAAGAATGCGTATACGAGACACTTTGCTTACAATTCACTAATCAAAACTACGTAGTTTTGATCACGAGACGTTGAACTACACACTTTTGCTTGAAACACTTACATACAAATATGTTTTTTTAGGAGGAATTGGATCAGCTTGAAAAAATGGATGCAGCATCGGCTGCATGCAAGGAGTAAGTATGAAGTTATAAATTATTATTATTATTTTTTTTTTTTATAATATTGAGGATTTGTGTGTGATTTTCGGTTTTATAACAAACTTTTTCTTTGTTTTTTTTAATAGAATCTTAAGTAATGTGGAAACAAGGCCAGATCCACTACTTCCAATGTAAGACATCTTCCTTCTTTAAAAATATCGATCTCATAAAAATGGCAACACTTGTTTAATAAAGTTAAAGGGTTAATTGCTTCTTAATGCAATCTTTTTTTTTAATTTATGCTACAAAAAAGTGCCGAAAATATATTGGTTAAACATGAAAGGTGATCAAAATATAGTGGCTTTTATGTAGTTTGCAATATTTATGCAACAATATTTCACCTTTTTACCATTTTATGCAATTGACATGGATTATGCACTATGGAGCCATGTTGTTTCACATGTTAGTCATGTTAAATGTAAAATGTTTTAATCAGTTAAAATGTTTCATTTAAAAAACTATTTTGTTGCATAAGTTTGGGAAAAGCTCAAACATTGTTGAATATGCAAGCATTTCATCCTAAGTTAAATTGTCTAAAATACCCTCAAGTATATGACAACTTTTCGACCAAGACCGTTCTCATGACCAAGGACAATTAGGTCATTTTAGCTTTGAACATGAATTATATAATGCTTTCAACTTTCGTTATGGAGGGCATTTTTGCAACCGTTTCATCTGAAGTTAAATTGTCTAAAATACCCTCAAGTATATGACACCTTTTTGACCAAGACTCTTCTCATGACCAAGGACAATTAGGTCATTTTAGCTTTGAACATGAGTTATATAATCCTTTCAACTTTCGTTATGGAGGGCATTTTTGCAACCGTTTCATCTGAAGTTAAATTGTCTAAAATACCCTCAAGTATATGACACCCTTTTGACCAACACCGTTCTCGTGACCAAGGACAATTAGGTCATTTTAGCTTTGAAAATGAATTATATAATAAAAAAAGGTCAATGCCAAAAGAATCATGTGTAATATATAATGTACACAATAGTAAGGAGTCCAATGAACATTAAAATATAAAACTCCGATAATGTAAAATTTGATACTCGAACCCTTGACCATTGACCATTTTTTTTATTTCTAATTCTACTTTTTTTTTTGTTCTTGATGACACAGCACAAATGGGCCCACAAATCCATCATGGGATCGATGGTTTGAGGGACCTCAAGATAAATCGGGTTGCAGATGTTGGATACTTTAACAAAAGTATTCTTCGTAAATTCATTGGATTTCATTTGGGATTCGTGCAATGAGTGAAAATTGTACAAATCTCATTACAGATAACAGAAAACAAAACAGGCTTCTTTCCCAAATGGGTCATTGTGCAGAAACGTCAAATTCTTTTTCATTTGTAGAGGAAACTAAAGGGTTTTAGGGTTTTTTTTATTGTGGGTTTATTTTGTTATCAAAGTATTGTCGATTTTTTTTCAGATAATTATGGTTTATGTGATTAAAAGTTTGAATCTTTATGTTACATTGTTTAATTAAAGATCATGCGAATCTTTATGTTACATTGATTAATTAAAGATTTGAAGAAAAGGATGCTTTTGGGAAGTGGGTTTTCTTTTTTAAAAGCGATTATTGTGATTTTGGTAATCAAGTGAAAATCGGATAATTAATGATTAACATTGGGTAATCTTGTAATTAGTCTCTAAAACTAATTTTATTTTCTTTAGTTGTGACTACAATTGAATATTGGGAATACTGTGGGGCTTGTATCAAATTATTATTTGAGTTGTATTGTATATGATTCATATGCAATAAAAGAGGTGATAGTGCAAAATATTAGAATGTAGAAAGGACAATCATGTCATTTCACTTTTATCTGGGTTATGTTTGTTAGTTTCCTAACAGTTGGTTTAGCTTAGACGTGATCTTACGCCTTCTTTCTCATTCTCTTATATATTGTAACTGAAATCATCAAAATAATTCAAGTAATTCGTTCTTTTACTTTGTAATATGATATCAGAAAATAAATCGTTTTTCACTTTGTAATATGATATCATGTTCGACCAAATTGCTTTTGATATTTGGACCAAATTAAAAGAATGATTTCAACAAAGCAATGAAACTCGAATTTTTCAAATTTCAAAGGAAATTGTTAATCTGTAACAAAATTGAAATTCAATTCGAGTATGCTTCACAAATTTGAAATCTCTCACAGAAAAACTGATCAATTTTTGTCCATGTTGTTCATGCATAAAGTGTGAATGTAATAGAGTCAAGAAGATTGAGCAATATTTTCAAGTTGAACATGTTATGAACTTTTGTAATGGGTTTGAATGAATTTTTTTTTCACACAATAGGACAAATTTTATTAATAGGTCCGATACCTGCAATTAGTCGTGTATATTCTCTAGCCGCACAAGAAGAATAACATAAATCCATGTCGAATTATATTGAATAGCCCATGATTTTCATTGATAAATCAAATGTATAAATGTCACACACTCGGCCGAGGCGGCGGAATACGCCGGACTATGTGACTAAGTTCATGTATCACAGATAAATTGAATATATAGCACAAACACAACAATAAACAAAATAGTAGTTATATTACAAATTTATGTTCTCACACAAGGTTCTTACATATAATAATATAATAGTACGAGTATGAGTTTGCTTTAACAGTACAAAAGTAGAAAATTATAGTACTTGCAAGCCATGTACGTCAACGTCTGAGTGTGTCCGAAGTCTCATTGATTCCGTGAAAATACATTTATTTTAAAAGTCAACACAAGGTTGGTGAGAGTCACAGGTTATCTGCTAGTCGCAGTAATAATACTTTTAATAAGTCCAAAAGTATTTTCTGTGTATGAATAACAATAGTTGAAACAGTGTTGCCATGAGTCTTTAAAAGCCAAAATATATCTTTGGATAAGTAAATCCATGCTTTTAAAATGTGTTTGTAATCAATCCTTGAAATCCATAATGTACCCATTGTATAAGTAAACTCTATACTTAAAATAGTTTGAAAGCAACCAAACCTATGGTTGTAGTGAGAAAAGAGAGAGATTAGTCGTGTTAATGTCTTTAGTGAGTTCTATAATCGAGCGATGGACGAAAAGTACCCCTCCCTACGACGCTTCATTGGACGTCGTAGTAACGATCGTAGATACATATCACCTGCTACGATTGATCAGTCGATGGTCTTAGCTAGCAACCGCATGTGGGGTTGTCGACCCCATATAGATCTATACATATGTACCTCGCTCCGAAGATTAATGATTATAGCAGTGTGGGACAGACTAAGTGATTAAATGTCACACCCCAAAACCGGAACGGCGGAAACGTTCGGGGGTGGAGGACGTCATATTCAGTATCACAACTATGCAAACTAGTAAACAAGCAACAACATCATCCATTGCATTAATAATATAATTTCATACAAGTGTGTTCTGTCAAGTTATATAGACACCAAAAATATACATCAAATAAAAGATGAGTCTTGAACGAGCTCCCATCTTCTCAAAACCTGGCACCGGTACCTGTCTACTGGTGACCTGAGAATACAAGTTATTTTGAAAGCGAGTATCAGCTTTAAAGCTGGTGAGGTCATAAGTAATTAGTGTCTGTATTGTATGAAAGGTTTCTAAGTCTGTATTGTATAAGTTTGTAAAAGTTGTAATTGTTTGAACTCTCCTAGAAAACCCTATGTTTCCTACTAAAAGTAGCCTTTTACCACGGCATCTAGTATCTGTGTGTGTCCTCTGTAAGAGTGTGTATTTCCCAAATCTGACTCTCATTAACCAAAAATATAGTTTTACATTATTGTTTATTGTGTGATATCACAAAGTAAATGTAAATGGGAAAAATGAAATAGTACTGTAGTGTTGTATTAAGTAACTATTGCTGTACTAACTTTTACTTTAAATAATTGTTATTTTAAGGTACCATGTGATCAGCCTGTATCCTGCTACCGACTCTAGTAAACGACGATTGTAAGACGTCGTAAGAAATGACGTTTGCACACCGTAGACTTGCAAGTCCCACTGGTAGCGAGCAGCAAGGTGTAGGATAGTCAATCCAGTATAGATCTATACACAAACTCATACGCTCCCCACTTAAGGAGATTCTGGATACACAAAACGGTCATGCAGGTAGTGCCATGCCCCGTTAGGTGGCTCACATAAATGTAATAATGTTCTAGTATATGTATGTGCTAGCTGTATTGTGTGTTCTCTCCCTGTCTAGCATGTATTGTTTGTTTCTCATCATAGTATTCTATTGTTTGTTTCTCATCATAGTATCTATTGTTTGTTTCTCATCATATTATCCTGTTTGTTTCTCATCATAGTATCTATTGTTTGTTTGTTATGACTAATGTATGAACTGACTCATTGTATGTTCACCTGTTCTAGTATAGTATTAGTATCTCCCTAAACTATACCTATTATAGTTTACTAGTAATGTTGTTTGAATGTATGAACATGTTGTGTATACCTTTGCTACCCAAAGGTATTGAACTGAATGAAAGAAGGAATTTTATATCTATATACTATACATAATATATAACTAGGATAAAAACGACCTTCGGACAAATAACCTGAATACCCTAAGTCCACAACCAAACAAGGAACACGAAGTAAGGTGAGCTATCAGTCCTAAGTCCTTTCAATCCTACTTATATAACTATATCTATATAGATACACAGAATATAAGTTAAAGAGTTTAATAAAAGTATTTGATATGAAAAAGAGTTTGTAAGCAGTTGAAGTAAAACAGTTTGATAAACAGTTTGAAAGTAAGAATCCACTTGTGTTGGTAGTTATTCATCACATGTGATTGATATAATA